GTTTAGTTCTTTATATATATTGGATATGAGTCCTCTGTCAGATAAAGGGTTAGTGAAGATTCTTTCCCAATCTGTAGGCAGTCGCTTTGTTTTGATGATGGTGTCCTTTGCTTTACAGAAGCTTTTCAGTTTCATGAGGTCCCATTTATTGATTGTTGCTCTTAGAGCCTGTGCTGTTGGTGTTCTGTTCAGGAAGTTTTCTCCTGTACCAATGAGTTCTAGGGTATTCCCCACTTTTTTTTCTAGCCGATTTAATGTGTCTGGTTTTATGTTGAGGTCTTTGATCCACTTGGACTTCAGTTTTGTGCAGGGTGATAAATATGGATCTATTTTCATTTTTCTACATGTAGACATCCAGTTGGACCAGCACCATTTGTTGAAGATGCTATCTTTTTTCCATTGTATGGTTTTGGCATCTTTGTCAAAAATCAGGTGTCCATAAGTGTGTGGGTTTATTTCTGGGTCTTCTGTTCGATTCCATTGATCCACCATTCTGTTTCTATGCCAGTACCATGAAGTTTTTATAACTGTTGCTCTATAGTACAGCTTGAGATCAGGGATGGAGATACCTCCAGAAGATCTTTTATTGTAGAGGATTGTTTTAGCAATTCTCGGTTTCTTGTTATTCCATACGAAGTTGAGAATTTTTCTTTCCAGGTCTGTAAAGAATTGTGTTGGCAATTTGATGGGAATTGCATTAAATCTGTAGATTGCTTTTGGTAAGATGGCCATTTTTACTATGTTAATCCTGCCAAGCCATTCAAGTTCACAGGAGCTGTATTCTTAAAAAGCTGGTGCTTAGTTAGCAGCTGTTTAGCTGAATGAATGGGATGGTATTTCTGTGCTGAGGTGGATTTAGTGTCAGAAATCTGTGCCCACAGGCCTCTCAGGACAGGCCTCTGGCTTCAGTATCTAGGAAGCATGAGTAAAGAGTAGGTCGAAAATATAAAACATGGAGGCAGATGTCGCAGGTCTTCAAAACAAGCTCAGAGTGTAGAAAGAAAGGAGCTACTGAAAGCTGCCTCCAGCTTTTGAAGTATGGCCTGGAGCAACTGAAGAGGCAAACTGAATTGCAGAATTAATTGGATAAATGTCATGAAGAAATGATGACCATGACTGAGACATGAGATTATGCCTCTCTGATGATGCTCTTGTATCAAGTTGACACATAAAACCAGCCAGTACAACTGAATCCTTGTCAACTTGACACACAAACACATCACTATTAAGCCACATCCCTTCCTTTCATATTCACCCCAACGTCTTCCATTAAAAACATAAATAAACCCAAGATGTTACATTAAATGCATAAATAACCTTAAAGGTCCCACAATCCTTACAAATTAAAACAATTACAATTTCAGACTCTTTAAAATATCCAATCTCTAAAAATCCAAAATCTCTTTAAAAAAGTTCAGTGTCTTTCAGCTGTGGGTTCCTGTGACAATCAAAATTAAATTAAATACCTTCTTTAAAAGGGAAAAACCAGGGCACTGTCACAATCTGAAATAAGCAAAACTAAACTCCCAACAGTGTAAATAACTCAATGTCCAATGTTTAGGATCAATGCATGATCTTCTGGACTCCTCCAAAGAGCTCGAGTCACTTCTTCAACTCTGTCCTTCCTAGGCTTTGGTTGGCTCCACTCATTACTGCTGCTATTCTTGGTGGTTATCCCACAGTAATGGCATCTCCATAATGATGGGGTCTCCCACTGTCAACTAGGCTGCACTTTCACCAATAGCCTCCCGTAGGCTCTCTTCTTGGTGCCAAGACTCAACTTTTTTCTATGACCTTGTTGCAGGATATCTGATGCCATTGGGATTGTGAACTGTTAAAACCTGTCTCTTGTTTGATGAGGTTCAGCCCTCACACACACCTTTAATCCAAAACCTTTCTATGAGAGAAGGGCATTTAAGACATCCTGGAAGAGAAGAAAGGAGCCCATTGGCTTTGGGCTTTTGTATTTTTCCTCCTGGGATGTTGGGTGAACTAGCAAGCTTTTGGCCTTGGGCTTTTGGCTTTTTGGCTTTTTCCTTCTGGGACATGAGCTGAATAGGACAGTCAGCTGGGTGCTTTCTCTACCTCTCTGAGCTAGTAAGTTTTTACCTCAGCATCTGGCTCATGAGTGTTTATTGGTAAAATCTAATGATTAGGACTTTAGATTTTTTTTTATAACTAAAAACCTTCAGTCTTGGGCCTTCAACTGCCACTGAGGCTGCACCTTGACCAATGGGACCTCTCACAGAATCAAGCCTCAGCTGCTCTCCATGATCCCTTCATGCCTTCCAAACCAGTACCACCTGAGTGACATTACCAAGTCTGGCAGCCAACATGAGGTGCAACCTTGGCTGTCTCTGGAGCACAGCTTCTTTGTGCTCTCAGCAAACACTTCCCCAAAGATTTCACCTCAGTTATGCTGGTCTCTTAATCACCACTAATTTCTTAATTCAGCTACCGAGCATGAATTGTCCCAGTACCATAAAAGTTTCACTGTAGTAGTTCTGGTTGGTATCTTTTATCACAGATTCTTCAGCCCCAGCCAACCAGAACTACAGAATCTTACATCAAAATAGCAAATGGCCCTGATAGTCTTTAATATTCCCTCTGAAATTTTACAAGCCAGGCCTCCATCGTCTGCACTGCTCTCAATATTCTTATCTTCCAGGCTCCTACAGAACATTCCACTGAGGTCTCAACACTCAATAGTTCTTCTAGCCCAAAGTTCCAAGATCCTTCCACAATTCTCCCCAAAACATGGTCAGGTGTGTCATAGCAATACCTCATTACAATGGTACCAATTTGTCTTAGTCAGGGTTTTGATTGCATGACAAAATAGCATAACCAAAAAGCAAGCTGGAGAGGAAAGGGTTTATTTGGCTTACACTTCCATCCATCATTGCAGGAAGTCACAGGAACTGAAACAGGGCAGGAACCTGGAGCTAGAGCTGATGCAGAGGCCATGGAGGGATGCTGCTTACTGGCTTGCTTTCCATGGCTAGCTCAGCCTGCCTTATAGAACCCAGTACCACCAGCCCAGGAATGGCACCACCCTGTGATCTCACTGAGAAAATAAAATGCCTTACAGCTGGATCTCATGGAGGCAATTTCTTAACTGAGGCTCCTTTCTCTTTGATGACTCTACCTTGAATCAGGTTGACAACACAAAACCAGCCAGTACAATAACCCTTCAAAGAGAAGCTGAGTTCAACAGTCAGATAGGAGACAGTTTGAGCTGTGAATGTGAAACTACTAAACAACAGAAAATGCATCTGGAACAGTTAGAAATGCAACTAACAGAAGCCACAGGAAGGAAGTGAATGACCTGAAAGTAAGTTAGGAAAAAAAAAAAAACAAAAAAAACAGTAAGCAGAATTAGGTGAAGCGCGGCTCAGTGAACATCAGCTGAAGTTGAAGATCACCAGGAGGAACTTGAAGAACTTCTCACAGATCAGAACTCCAGATAATGTGTGAGAGTGTGTGCTCAACAAGCATGTCTTTGGAGGTGCTGGCTCTGTCTGCAGACCGAGCTAACTGAAGTGGTATGAAGGCTGCCTTTAAGGAAGAGATTAATGAACTGCAGTGCAAACGAGCAAATTCCTTACTGCACCAGACAGACTGGCTTAAAGAATAAGAGCAAGAAGCAGTGTCTCAATATAAAGCCTTAGAGAAAGCTTGCACAGACAATCGGGATTTGGTTTGGTTGGGTTGGGTCAGGCACTTCAGCAAGCCTTGGATCCCAACTGCAACTATTTGTGGAGGTGGGCTAAAATGTGGCAGTAGAACAGCAGCTCAACCTCATGAAAGTCAAGTATTAGTCACTGAAGAATCAAAAAGCATTCACCAGAAAGATGAACAGAATGAAGTTACAAACCCCCACACTGCTGAAGATGAGGCTATCTCACAGCTGAAGAGCAGGAGTGGTTGTCTGTCACGTTGCAACAGAAGAATGGTGACATAAAACACCTTTTAGGTGAAATCAATACTCTGGAGAAATTTAAGAACCTACATGAAGATATAGAATGCATGATGTGGAAAGCCTTCCATGTCAGCCAACCTCTGTGCTCTACAAGATGGCACCTATTAAAGGGATTTACTTCACCTGAAGCATGATAAATAAAGAAAATGAAAACACAAAAGGCAAATCATCCACACAGAGAATGAAAGCATATTTGGAAGCAGGCAGACCCTGTATATTGAGCAGAAACTGTTTGTAGATGAAAGATGCCTGCAGCTTTCACAAAGTGAAAATATGAGTCTGAGAGCTGAGTTAGACGAGTTAACGCTGAAGGACAAACCCAAAGAGGAAATGAGAAAGTAAGCACCTGTTCTCAAAAAGAAGTGTGAGGTGCTGCCATTGGATACAAACACCCAGAAGGACCAACTGCTTTCAGTGCCGCTCGGGGTGAAGTTTCTAGACTCCCACTTCAGAGAGAGGAGAAAGGGCCCTGTCTTAAAAGATAACTTTTGCAGGGAACAGTCATCCTCTTCAGGCATTTAGCCAGCCAGTCTCTCTCCTCACAAGAACCAACCTCTGGATATGCTGCCAAAGAACAATGTGTGAAGCTCGTGAATAATCAAGCCAACGCTGAGGCCTTAGGTGAGCAAAGTGGAAAAAACACCCAGCTCTCTCCCACGTTAACTGCTGAATCAAGGCTCCTGACAGAAGTGAAGGAAAGAAACTACAAGTGAGTTGGAAGGAGCCGGTAAGAAATCACACACCATCATGTGTGTCCTCAAAGCCAACCCAGAGACACCATGTCTGGAGCAGCAGGCAGAAGTAATGAGGCGCCGTTTTGTGGGGCTTGCTGACCATCATCTTTATGCACAGGACTCCCCTGTGGAGCACTTGCATACATGGGACTCCCCTGTGGAGCACTTGCTTATGCAGTGCTGAGACCTGATAAGCTTACCCAACTGTGACCAAGAATCAGAAATGGCTGTGATTTTAGTCTTAAATGATGGTCCTTCACATGCTGTGACTCACAGCAAACAAAGAGTTGTCAGAAGGAAATGTAATTTATTTGCTGCATTGGATCTGGATTTTGAAAGTTATACGAACAATTAATCTACCTTAAGAACCAAAAATTGGAAAACGTAACACCAAAGTTACTAATTATATTTTCTTTTGTCCATTTTGTTATCTTTTGCTGTTTTTCAAGACATAGCTTTTGTGCAGCCCAGGCTGTCCTTGGAACTCGATCTGTAGACCAGGCTAGTCTCGAACTCAGAAATCCAGCTGCCTCTGCCTCCCAAGTGCTGGGATCAAAGGTGTGTGCCACCATGCCTGGCTTAGATTTTCTGTCTTGTAAAAATAGTAAATATGGCTTGAAAATACATATTATTACAAGATGTTTTTAAATAGTTTAAAAGACCTATATTAATTAATATAATTTAGATTTTCATGACTCAAGCACACTAAAATTTTCCAAAAATTAAGATTAAGAAAAGAACACCATTCATTTTTGCCTTTAAGAGATTTTCATTGATTCAAAAATACTTTGAAGGTCAAATATGCAATTCAAGACAGATGGAGGGTTTTCTGAGTGTTTGAACTAAGAACTGTCTTTGCTGAAGCGAAGTAAGAACTCAATCAGAGTCCTTGTGGGACGTCCACTCATGCCCTTCCTCAGGTACGGAATCTCATCTTTGTTGGTCATCACACCTGCTATGTCTAAATGTGCCCACTTTGTATGAGTCACAAACTCCCGCAGGAATGCCGCAGCTGTACATGCACCTGCAGATCTGAAGAGAAAGGCAAAATAGGATCATTTTACCTCGTGTCAGAGTGCACTGAGCATTTCATTAAGAAGCTACATTCAGAGCCACTGGGATGACTGGGATACAGTGCTTGTTGTGCAAGCCTCACAGCCTGAGCTCCATCTCTGGAACACACATATACGTGGAAGGAGAGAGCCAAGTCCATAAGGTTGTCCTCTAACCTCCACATGCGTGCCACATGGTCATGGCACATACACAACCCCCTACCCAATACATGACTTTAAAAAATAACATTACATTTGTGCTAGCTAGATGCTACCTACTACCAAAAAGAACAGTTAAGGTCATGTAACTTAAATATTAACCCAGAAATAACTCCCAGAATATTCATTTTAGATATGGCTTGATGGCATAAATGACAAATTCTAGATTACTTTTTCTGTATAACGAATGTCTGGAGTTCCCATCACTTTTTCTTATGTCCCGAAATAACCTTTAGACTTGAAATTTTCTAACATTAAGAGAGCCTGGGGAGAAATGTTTTCAAAATGTAACACCTCAGTAAGGTTAGCAGTACTACATCAAAAGGAAACCAATTAGTTTTAAAATCTTCTGTAAAAAGGATGACACTAAAGGGTAGTTTGGCCACCAAGGATGATGACTGGAAAGAAAAAAGTTGGGTCATACCTGTATTTTCCAATGTTATTGACATCAGCAAGCTGGCAGTCTATGACTTGTTTTGTATAATGCTCAAAGAGAGGCATCCTCCAGACTCGGTCCCCAGTTTCTATGCTGGCCTAAAGAGCACAGTGTGACAGTGTGAGAGTCCATTCTGAGAAACTCTAGAGTCTGATGCACGAAGGAAAGAGCTGTTCTAGCCTGTTACTACAAAGCAGGGCTGTGAAAGCGATGCCTGAGATCACTTTAGGTGACAAAAGATTTATCTCAGAATTAGGAAGCAGGAATATTGTAAAGTAATTCCACACATCTCTATGACATTTAGTAAATTCTCGGTTGGAACCTCTTGGTGTTGAGGGTTTAACTAGGGTGGGAGACTTGGAAGAGTCTAGTCAGCTTGGCCTGCTGGAGACATGCATGTTCCATCACTGAATATCAAGATGACACTATTCCTGTATCGCATAGATCCCAATTCATTTGCTGAGCGGAACTTTAGAGCACCACTGAGCTGCACCAACAAAGAAACAGGCTCTTGGAGAACCAGATACACATGCTGTTTTACTCATTTTCACAAGAAGTCAAAAATAAATCTTCACAGATGCATTGGCTACCTCTGGGAAAACACTCTGGGCTGCTGATTGTTGACTAATATGCCTGTAAGCACATCATTTTAGTTAATAAAATAAATAACTCAAAAAACACCAACTTTTGTGTGTTCTATGATGATACAGGGACTGTGGGTAATGTGGAAGGCCAGGAGAGGTTCCTGGCTCAAAGAGACAGCTTAGTGGTTCCAGAGGCTGAGAGGGAGCTTCACACACAGAAAGACTGAAGCGGGGGAAGCACTATCAAGTGAGAACTAAATCTAGGACCTTGAGCAAGCCTCATAAATGCATCCATGGATTATATAAGCTGTATAACGACTTTGAAGGGATTCATGAGCTGCCAGATGGAGCTGCCAAGCAGCCACATGGAACACTGGAGTCACGGCTGTTATCAGACATGGAATATATACGATTTACCATGAGGTCTCTGAGCTTGTATTAGGCCAAGGACTAAACACTGTCCAATAGGATAAAACAAGCAGCTAGGAAAGGAGCTGAAGCAGGACAATCACATAAGGGAGCCGGAAAAGAAGATGATCATAGAAGCCAATGCTTAGGGTCATCAAGAAACCACTGTAACCTGCTGACAAGAAACAGGCTAAGTTAGGCTAAAAGTGGTATTGGCAGGTGAAAGCCAGGAGTAGTGAGTAACAGTGTAATGTGGGAGAGGCAAGGATAAAAGATGGCTGGAAAAAAAAAAAGAAAAAGAAAAAGAAAAAAAAAAAGATGACTGGAAAGGGCACAAATCACAGCAGTGACGAAACTCCTCATCACACACATTCATTAAAGGGCCACTCTTTCACAAAGCTGGCCTCATACCCTTTGCCTCTCAGGGATTCTCAATCTTGGCCATGTAATTTGTCAGTTATTTTAACATCATTCTGAGGCTACAAGGACAGGGAAGTGGTGTCACATCCATAATTTAGGAACACCTTTAGAAAACCCAAAGCCACGGAATCAAGTTTATCGCAATGACCTTTTTCAATTCAAAGGCAACCCAACCTGTAGAAAATCACTTTAACACAGGTTTTGAAGCATATTATTTGAAGCATATATTTAACACAGGTTTTGAAGAATATTATCCAAAGTCCACAAAAACTATCATCTCTGTAACTTATAGGTCTATATCTTAGGCCTACCTCAAATAGTCTGTTCCACAGCCAGGACGAATTGGTAAAGACCCCAGTGGCACCTGATCCCAGGGCTATGTCCATGGCACCTGTAAGACACAGTCCCTTAGGTCAGTGACAGTCACCCCTGATGTTCAGACGACAACTAAGTAAAGGCTGCAGGGAATGCCCATATTTAAGAGGCTCCATGAAAGCTCTTTCTAACCCTTATAACTGTGAAGCAAGCAGAACCATCCTCAAGTAACAAGGCCAAGGAGCTCCTTAGGAGCTGCCCAGCTAGTAAGGGAGAGTTACACCCACGCTGGCCCTATATAAGATATATATTTAAATAACTTTGGAATGCTTTAAGCCAAAAGACCTAATTTGAGAACATTTTATAACTGCACAGGCAGTTCCTTTGGTGAAGGATCTTTGAATGGAGTAAACCAAATTTCAGCAAAATGGCGTCCAGAGTATAGTGTGTGCACTGCACCCAACACGTAAGATTTCCTTCAGACAAGACAGGGAAACATTTGTCTTGACCTGTCAGGGTGGCAGCATTGATGATGACCTTGGGATTGAAGGTGTGAGCATAACAGAGAGCATCGGCCAGGATGAGCCTCCCTTCAGCATCAGTGTTATCAACCTGCAGAGATAAAAACAGAAAGGGTCAGACAACCTGAGGAATGACTATAAAAAAACCAGACACAGTAGTGTTTGATTCCAAAGTGAGGAAAGTCAGGGTAACATCTGTCATGAGGTAGTAAAAGACTGCCACACTAACTCCAGAGTCGTCTGTGTGAGCATAAAAATGTGCTATGTAAGCATAAAATTATGCTGCCAGACGGGAGATATGTTTCCTACGGGAATTAGCTGGAAGTCACTGGCAAGAACCCTAACATGGCCACCTAAGCCAAAAAGACGTATTCGGAGAGTCCCACCTTACTTGGTTGCAAAATTGGATTAATGAGCTTCTTGCTGTTTCTCTTGGAACAGCACAATTAACTATTCAAGGAAACACATTTCTGATAGATTATTAAAAGCTTTAGCAAGAACAGAGTAAGAGAGAAATAAAATCTTAGAAAAAGTAATGAGTCAGATTCAGCATCAGAAATTGCTTGTAGAAAATCCAAACATTGTAGGTAATAAAAGAGTAAGAGCTTTACACAGGTGTTTATGGTGAGGCAGAAAGAAGATAGGCAAACATAGGTCAGAAAGTTTTAAAATATACTATGAGTTTTACGGACAGGCTAGCTCAAGCATCTTATCTCTAAGGAAGACTGCAAATCCTTAGCAAGACAAACAGGAGGAATTCCTCCATATGATTATATCTAGGGAGAATTGTAAATCTTTAGCCGACTTAGCTGGGAGGACTATTAACAGCCCCTAGCTAATAACAATAAACTACGTAAACAAACCACAAGTTTAACAGCCCCTTGGCCCTCTACTCACTAAATTAGCAGCAATAACGCTGCACAAATAGTCACTAGTTCTATGTTTGCTCTGCTTAAAAGGCTTTTAGGCCAAGATTTTTTGTAGACACTGCCTTTTACTAGATTGCCTTTCAGTTAAAATAGAAACTTTGTAAATGTTCTGGGAAATATGTCAACTTCAGGTGCTTCTTTATGTAATCACTATATAAGTGTTGGCTTGACTTCAGTGAAGCGCAGCAGATTCAAAACACTACTTGGTGTGGTCTCTGTCAGTCAATTTGCCTACCTGTGTCTAACCTGATATCCAAACCTGATTCCCTGCAGTTGTGGGCGTCCCGACTGGGCCGGTCCACAGCAAAGACACTTGTATTTCAGCGTGAGCAGGAGCATACCTACCTTGGAGGGTAACTTAGTTAAGTCCCTGGCCTAGCTGATGACACCCACACTGGAAAAAGTAGGGAAAACTCTCCTCCATTTTAAGGGCAAATGTTGCTAACAAGAAGGAAGACTGGGGACAGAGAGTAAAAGCAACAGGGCTGAGGGTGCAGCATGCTGCAGATACTAGTTTCCCTCTCTAAGCACCAAACAAAACAAAGGCCTTAAGGACGTTAAAACTAAATGGTGGCCCGGAACTCCAGGCTCAAAGCCTCTTAACATTTTGGCAATCCTTTCTAGCCCTATCCCCTTCCTTCTGCAAAAGACAAATGCCAGCGCACAGAGGCCAAGTGTAGGGACAGTCTTTTCCAGATGAACATCTAACAGAGAAAAAAGTTAATCATGGCACAAGCAAGTAGGAAATAGTCTATACTTTTACTGGTGCGTCATGTTCTGCAGGCCAGGCCGCACACCTGTGATTTTTATGTATAGCACAATTAGTGGGAGATATAACAGAGAAGAAAAAATACTCTTAAAAATTTCTGTCAAAAACTAACTGTATTTTGCAGTACTGAAAACATCACCCTACCCCAAAGTGGAGGTTGGGCCCTACACCCACATTACATTGGAGTTGTGTGGTCACGATGGGGCTCTGAGAAATGCCAGACGGGGATGTTTTGTTGCCCCCCTCACAAACCTGGATGGTCTTCCCATTCCTAGCTCTGACGACATCCCCAGGTTTGTTGGCCTTGCCACTAGGCATATTTTCACAAAGTGGAGCCAAACCTATTGGAAAAACATAAAAAAGAACATGAGATACGCTGGATCCAAAAACACCATCCTTTGGGAGAGGAGGCTGCCAGAGAGCCAACTGAAAGCACACCACACACAGGCTTCACTTTACAAGTGACAAAATGTGGTATCACCAATGGCACAACTGAGACAGTATCAGCGGGAACACATGTAGCATAGTCTCACTGATTCTAATCCAACAGCAGAACAGCCTGGACCCCTGAAACTGCCAGTGTCATGGAGAAAAAAAGGAGAAGGAATGGGGCTCCTGGGAAGAAAAGTAAAGGAATGTGGCAACCAAATACAATGTGCTATCTATGCTAGGGTCTAGATTTCAAAATTCAATATGGGGGCTGGAGAGACGGCTCTCCAGAGTGTACCTGAGGGCCTGAGGCTCCCAGCCACAGCCTGTGACTCTAGTTCCAGTGGTTCCAGTGCCCTCTTTGGCCTCCGTGGGCACCTGTGCTCACACATACACAGAACCACACACTGACATACATAATTAAAAAAACAAATTCTTAAAAAAGTACCAAATATTACAAATTAAGCTTTATTTTTTAGACAACTGGGAATTTTTACTAGGTTCTTGTATAGATCCTTTTGAAAAGTAACTGGATTACCATTACATAGAGTGCCCTTTTTCTTAGGAGACGTATTACAAGTACTCAGAGGTAAAAACATGTTGAAATGTCAGCATCTTGACTTCCAATAATACAGTTTTTTTTTAAAAAATGACTGGTAACAGACAAAAAGACTATTATTCTGGAATGGCTGGGTAAGGGAGGTTCAGGTCAGACAGATTTAAAGCACCAGTCTCCTTTCTCCACACAATGGATGAAACCGACTTCCCTCTCCCTCTGAATCTTGGTATTAGCAATGATATAAATTCCCAGCACTGATTCTGGGAGTTTGCATCTGTAACACCAGAAGACCCTGTGTATTAATTGCTTATTCTGTATCAGGCAACTAATGGACCACAGTCCTATGAGGCAGACGGTAAATGAGCCAGAGATGATGCTCACCACACCACCCAGAGTAAAGTACAAACGGGACATATGTGCTCCTGGTGGCTAACCACTTTGCCTAAGTAAAACAAATCAATACAAGTTACAGCCTGCTGGTTGCAAAACACATTTAACTCAGTCACCTCAGACAGAAAACCCTTTTTTCAGCCAATGCTTCTGCTTGATGAAAAGCTGCTTTTCAGAAGGAAGGAAACTGTTTCATGTCTCAGTTCTGCCGTATGGCTGGATTTGGAGGTACTATAAGATGCAACCCTTGCTCTTCTTACCTATGATATTAATGGGCAAATTGAGCTTTGCTGCAGACACAATGGCCGAGCATATTGTTGCAGCTCCTCCCATGTCAGCCCTCATGAGGTCCATATTTGCAGAAGCCTTGATGGAGATACCTCCACTGGATGGAAAAAGAGACAGTGCACAACATTAATAATGGCAACGCTGAAAGCCCAAAAACATGGCCAGTGAGATGGCTAAGGATAACAGTGCCTGCTGCCCCGTGGTAACGTGCGTTTGAGTCCTCTGACCCACATGGTGGAAAGGAGAGAACTGAGTCCCTTGACTTCTATATGACTGCTGTGGCACTTGGGTCCCGTATGTATACACGCCACACATAATAAATAAACGATAACGTCAAAACAAAACCAGGTGATGTATGCCCGCAATCCCAGAATTCAGGAGGCCGAGGCAGGATTTCAACCCTGAGGCCAGGTTAGGCAACATAGCACGACTGTCTCAAATCAAAACAAACCAAAACCCCATAAAAACTCAGGGTTCACTACCACACAAAGGTACAACATATCTACCGAAGAAAGTCAGGCTTCTAAACCTGTGATCTGATTTACCTCAATTCTGTAGCCTTTATAAAGATAGAAAACAATTCCAGAAATATGGATAAGCGAGGCAGGTCCTTTTGTTTCTGTTTGAATGAAACTTGACCAGGTGCTACTGGAAACATCATCATATACTATCAAGCCATCTAAATCCATCTTTCCTTTCTATCATCAACACTGGATACCCACAAAGACTGTTTCCTCAGATAGAAAAAAAAAAAATCTTTGAATTAACTACCTGAAAGTCATGAACTATTAAGGAAAGCTGATGCTCAAGGGACACTGGAGCATCCTCTCACGCACACAAGGCAGAGAGGCAATAGCTCTTCTGACACCTGCTGGCGGCAGATGGCTACTGAATGAGAAGACACAAGGAAGGTATCTCCGCGTGCTGTGCATGTATATTTGTGTAATGATGCCTGCAAGTGTGTGGGCACGACAAGCTCCCTACCAACTGAGCTCTCCCGACCCACTGACTCTACTTGCTAGTATGACTTTGAATGAGTAACTTCTGAATTGTGGTTTCCTCACCTGTTAGTCACAGGGCTAAGATCAGGACTATGACATATAAAATTTCCAGTATCTTTGGCATACATAATCATTGCCTTTCAAAAACGACAGCATGACGCATTTACTACATGTGTAAGACCCGATCAAACCCCATGCTTAGGAATAGCACTTTGCATATACAGCATTCACCAAGGCGGGGAGCACAGACAACCCAAGAAGTACCTGTCAAAGGTAATCCCCTTCCCCACAAACACCAGGGGCGCTGCCCTGGCATCGGGGCTGCCTGTGTAGTGGATTTCCAAGAAGACTGGTGGCTCTTCAGACCCTTTGGCTACACTTAGGAACGAACCCATTTCTTGTTCCTCTATCCAAGACTTGGGTCTACAGGGCAGAAAGAGGAAAAAGGGAGAGAAACTGTTACATTTATTCCAAAACAACTTAGAAAATTTTCAACAGTATGCTAAAAAACATACACCATAAAAGCTATTCAAATGCCGGATGGGACCTGGTACACTCAGTGGGAGGGCACCTGCTTCGTAGGCACAAGACCACGAGCTCACTCTCAACATCGGGGTGAAAACAGGACATCAGTGATCACAGCCTAGAATTTGCTTCTGTCTTCTCACAAGCAGACTAGACTCTAGGGCTACTTCAACAGTAAAATGAGACCAGGTACTCCTCTACGAAGGACTTCACACCTACTCAGGCAACTTCTGTGTGATAACGAATGCAAACTCAGGTAGTAAGTAGTTTGGCAATAAATAACACTCCTCTCCAACCTCCTTAGGTATTTCTGGTTTTAATTTGAAAATGAAAAATTAGGAAGGTTTTGAGCCCACACAGGATATTTAAAGAGTTAAGGCACTCAACTTCACTTTTGCATTACACACACATAATTAACCAACAAAAACTCAACAAGGTTACCCTACACCAACCGGAATAAAATATCCTGTTTCTTTGCTTGTCTTTTCAACACAGGCATGACATTTCTCATGGCTCCAAGTGCAATTTGAGAAGTCTCTGAATGGGAAAACTATTTAGTTCTCATAATAAACACAGGCTCAGTGCAGGTAACATGAACCTCTACCTTGCTGCAAACTAGAGTACACACACCATATTGCGACTTTTTCTAGGGTAACTAGAGTTCTGTATTGATTTCTAGCCGCAATCACAAAGCCTGTACTGCCAGAGAAGCACTAACCAGATCCAAGGACTACTCCTATGCTTGCCTGACCATTAGTCTATTACACTAAAATTGCTGCTGTCTTTCAAAGGGAAAGCAGAAGCATAAATCACATCAAAGGAAACAAGCCTGTACCGTGTCGACGTTTCTAATCCCAAGCCCTTGGGATTTTATAGGTGTTTTATTGCTTTCTTGCCCTTCTGGAAGAACTGTATTTCTTTGATGCAGACCTACTTATCCCGAACGGGGTGTGGTACAGCCATGTCACAGCATGAGTCAGATGCTCCCCATGGATCATGCTGGTCTCTGAACTCTTGTTCCCTCTGCTCACCCATAGCCTTGTGGTTTCCCAAGATTGCTGCACACCTTACCTGGAGCCCTCTGGTCTGTTGACATTTAAAGTGATCTTTAGGACTCTGCCGGGCTCCATTTTCACTCACAGCCCTCACCCTGACCGTGCAGCAGCCTCCCAGACATTTACCTGCCTGTCCTCTCCCTTGCACCAAGATCCACCACTGTGCGTGCCTGCCTGCAAATTTCATGTTTTCCCTGACCTACTTGCTGACATGGCGGAGCTCTGGCATCGTCTCCTCTGAGAGACAACACATCTATACAGCCCATACAGTGAGGGACCCAACACACAGAAACCTCTCAGGGCATCCTAGCAACCTCAGTCCTGTGTTTTCTACACATTATTCTTCATTCTATCTAAATAGGAGCTTTCCTAAAAACAAACAAACAAAAATCATGAACTCTGATCACAATTAAGGGCTGAAAAATCCCCTTACATGAAAAGAATCCTTGAGAAACAACTTTAAAAATTAAGTAAACCAAGTATGTTAGTTTATTTTAATAAGAATCCTCCCCCCCCCCCCAAAGCCTCAAACGTGGGTGCTTAATGGGTTGAAAACAGTTTTCAGGAGGGAAATAGAAGAACCAGACTTTAAGTCCCGTCACTCAGCACTGCCAAGCTTGGGAGACCTGGCAACACAACCCTGCAATGTAGCTGCCCATGGGCTCAATTTACTCCTCTGAACAGAGTTCAATTGTAGGATCTTACTTGTGTTGTTCAGGGTTTCTATTGCTGAGATAAAACAGCACAGTCATAAGCAACTTGGGGAGGGAAGTTATATTTCAGCTTAGACTTCCCAGTAACAGTCCTTCAGTGAGGAAAGTCAGGGCAGGAGTCTGGAGGCAGGAGCTGATGCAGCCTACATGGAAGAGTGCTGCTTACTGCTTACTCCCCATGGCTGGCTCAGCCTGCTTTCTTATAGCACCCGACACCCCCCACAGTTCAGGGGTGGCACTGCCCACAGTGAGCTGGGACCTCCCCCATCGATTGTCAAAAAAGAAAACACACCACAGGCTTACCCACTGGCCAATTTGGTGGGGGCATTTTTCTCAGTGGAAGCTACCTCTTCCAAAGCAACTAGTGGTATAAAACCAAAGAGTACACTGTTCTCTCGTGTACATCACACGAACCAATGACATAATCATAAATTACCTGATATAGACCTCTGTTTTACTACTGGCACTTTTGAGATTTTTTTCAATAATTTCAGCAAATCTGGTTGGCGTCATCTCATTGGCTGGAGACTCCATCAGCTGGCGGGCCAAGTTCTGCCCAGAAGCAAAGAGGACCCCTTTTTCCCAGGCTTCTTGATCACCGCTGTAGAAGAAAAGATTTACTCTTAAACAATCTCAAAACAATGACCTTTCTGCTGCTAAGCCAGGCACTTATCTTAGAAAATCAAGACTACAACAAAGAATGATTACACAAGACCTAGGTCCACCCTGTGATTGAGAAAACAGGTCCCACGGTGGAACGAGGAGAAATCTGACTAAGCGGCTCACTTCAAGAATCTTCCCTTTTGCCAGGTGGTGGCGGCGCATGCTTTTAATCCCAGCACTTAGGACGCAGAGGAAGGTGGAGCTCAGTGAGTTTGAGACCAGCCTGCTCTACAGAGTGAGTTCCAGGACAGCCAGGGCTACAGAGAGAAACCCTGTCTAGAAAAATATACAAAAGCAAACCAAACAACAGTAAAGGTGGTGGTGATAGAGTGTGGGGTGGTGTGTGCGCGCGCGCGTGTGCGTGTGTGCAGTCTGTGCATGTGTGTGGTCTGATGGGCGTTTGAAGCTATAGATCTACCTGCGAAGGTTATGTAGAGTCCAGTTCAGCACAAAGAGATAACAACTCCTAACTGTGAGGCCAGTATGTAGCAAACTTTCGGCACTAAGGCACATGTCGCATGATCCTAGCTCTTTGCTAGCAGTTTATACAGGCAACATGGAGACAGACAGTAACAGCTGCCATATCCAAGCACTTACCCATGTGCCACCCATTTGACATATTTTGTCTCTGAATTATCACACAAACTATGATACCAACCAGGAATGGTGGCACATGCAGCACTGCAGAGGCCGCAGCAGCAAGACTGTGAGTTCAAGGCCAGTCTGAGGCTATAGAATGAGACCCTCTCTAAAAACACAAAACTCCACCGGGATTACACCTCTCTTACATGATGGGGAAGGATTCAAATACAGGTTCACTGTCTACAGAGCCTTCATTCCCAATCCCCCTTCTCGAACAGATACCAACCACCACTGGCCTCACAGCTCCTAGAACTGAAGGTCTCTTACTTGTGTTCCTGACTGCACAGACCAGTCCCTTCAAAATCGGAATAGGGCTGGAGTAACAGGTGGTCAGCTATCTTCTGAAAGCATCTCCCACCATGAACCACAAAGACAAAGATGGGTACTCTCATCCATACAGGTCTAACATACAGCATAATGTCAGCAGGTATGAAGTCAATGGAAAATATTTGGATTAAAGCTCACTAGGATATTCTGTCGAGTCATTCCTCCTTCTGGGGAAGAGCCAACACTGTGAACGCTTCTTAGTAACCAGCAAATACAGAAGACTCTCAGGAGCCACAGAGGAATCACACACGCATAAAAAAAAAGCCCGGAGCAGAGCTCAGGGACAATTATCACACTGTAAAGAGGGCTGAGACAGTAAGTAGGATGCACACAAGTTACACAGCACGGCTGGACACCGAAAAGCAGGTAGCTCGTTTCCAAAGCATGTTGTCAGAATGCCTGGGAGTGCCACCCCCTACCCCAGTTTCCTTCGTCACCTTCCATGGAGCTTCACCGACACAGCCACCTTCTTTTTCTGCTTTAGGTCATCATACTCATAGAGACCCAGCACAGCTCCTTCTGCAGCAGCCTGGGCATCTCCACAGGGATCCACTTCCACCGACGGCAGCTCCAGGTCCTGAACCTGCCTGCATCCCGCTTTGGAATGACAACAGAAGCAGAAAACTGAGTCAGCACAAACCAAAGGCACAAGGTGGTATGTCAGGGGAACAGAACTGGAAACCGACGTTCTGGTCCTAAACTTTCATTTCCTCCTCCATAAATGATGGATGGCTATGTGCCTCCCAAGCAAAGCTGAGTGCTGAGGTCAAAGGCATAACTGCTCACAAATGGGGAGAGACCCTCAGTGAGCAGCACACGTTACTAGTAGCATTTCTGAAGCACTAGAGGTTCCTGATAAAGCTTTCTAGTCACCAGGAACCAAGACATGATGACATTGAAGTTACAAACAACTGGGCAGCAAAGACTATCATTAACAAAATTTATTAAGACCGCACCAGCAAAAACTTGCAAATAAAAGTTAGGCATAGCTACATAACTCTTAATAAGCATTTATGATATACCCATGGCCAGGGATTAGTTAAGCAAATTACCACTGCCTCAGTGTTTCTCGAAGTGCATTTGGGGCAACCACCCTGTCGGAAAGGCTCTCTCCCTGTGCTAGGTAACAAACTGACTCAACGGCATGGGACAGGTCCATGTAGTCTGCTCGCAACGAGTAAGTGTCCTACACTCTGGTCCTGCTTTGTCTGATTTGTAGATATAACAATTCTGTGTTATCCAAAAGTTGGGCAACACCACAGTTGCAATACAAAATAGAAAACCACCACAGTTTCTGATAGAATATAGTTCTAAGAACAAATGGTAGCAAACCTCCCAACAGAAAACAGAAAATACTAAAAATAAAAATGTCATAAGCTAGCCTCTTTATCTAGGTGATGCCAAGCATATCTATATAATACGAACTTGTTGAACTATTATCGCATGTGAGCAGGATATGAATGGTGATGGTGAATGGACAACAGGGGAAGAAGACTATCTTAGGGAATGGACTCCGAGAACCTCCGGCTATTAAACAGAAAGAACAAGCAAACCTGCAACAGCAGCTCTGATGTTTTCTTTGCCTTCGTGCCAGTTCTCCTGGTCATCAACTCCAGCTGATCTCTTGCCAAGGCCAACCACCACCACACTGGGGAAGTCCTGGTGCACAAACACAACGTGTCAACCACTGTGAATTCTTTAAACAGCTCCTTTCATTCCAGAAGGGAATGATTGAGGGAGACAGAGATGCCCAAGAGCCACTCTAAATCCAGCAAAGGAGCACTGCGTGTTGGTAAGTACAAGAGATGTGAAAGGCAGAGTGAAGGTAATCCTACAAAGAGCTCCATATGAGGTGGTACTATTGCTCCACACTGAGAAGGACAGCCATTCTCCTTTAGGATCACAAGGAATGCTTCTGCTTAATATAGGAATGAAACAGTAAGAACAAACACAAACGTTCCAGCATGACTGGGCAGCCACAGTAATGGGCACATGGGAGGTGACAACATGGATTTGCCAGGTGAAAATGACCTTCCTTTCCTACCTGATGCAGACCATAGAAGGTTCGGGTTTTGCCTGCCTTCAGAGGAGGTCCAGATCTAAAGGAAGAGGAGATGGTTGGTTTAGACATTATGGTTTGTGCTGTTCTCTTGTCAAATGGCTTAAGCTTTAGCAGACACTCTTGCTAACTGCTTCTGTTCTGTGCTTCACTTTGCTTTACAGAATGCGTACAGGACAGACTTCTCAGATGCAGCACTTTTATCTCAGAAAGTACTGAGCCAACTTCCAGGTTAGACAGCAGGAACACCAATTTAAAACCAACAGGGAAGCTAGGTGTGCTCATGCTTGTAATACTAGAACTTCAGAGGAACTGTGAGGAAGGACTGGCGTGAGTTCGAGGTCAACCTGGATAACAGTTACTTCTGATTCAGCCTAGAATACCAAAAAGTGCCCCCCACCTTTTTTTCAAAGCAATTCCATAGATGAGCAAGCTACCCCTAAAGGGGATCTGGGCACTGGATGGACTCTACTGTATAATGGAAACCTTTCTACTAAAAGAAATACCATACACACACACACACACACCAAAACAAACAAACAAAAAAACCAAAAAATAAAAAAAGCCACCAAAAACCAGAATGGTGACCAAAGCAGCTGACTTAACAGCACTGTCTCCCGCATAGGCTTCCCAGATTGTTTACTAAGGTGAGAGACAGGGCAATTTCCAAACAAAAGAGGTATTCTACAGGAGCCAGAGGCCAGGAGCACAGAGACTCTGAGGCTGTAGCCCACAGTGACCTGCAGCAAAGCCACAGTATTCTGGACTTTTTACAGATTAGCTTCTGGGTTAATGATTTAGGTACTTGTGAAGGCTACATACTAAAGTAGGACTAGCAGCCAAGAAGGAGGTCCAAGTCCTAGACTGCATTTATCAGATGACTGCTATAACTATTAGGTGACATCTGGTACACTCTATATAGTCTACAGCCTGAGTAACAGGTAGTTGTAGGGGCTTATGTTGCACTATTTCTGCCAAGTGTGGCCAGCAGCTCTACAGTTCCCCTACTTCCTCTAGGACCTGCTAATGGAGGAGGTCAGATCTCAGGCTCTCCCCAGACTGACGGTTTGAGGCTGTATTCTTGCTAAGCAGATGATCAACTTGTACTTTAACATTTGAAAAGCCTTAAAAGTCCAGCCATGAAATAAGAGGGCAGGACCTTAGGTTATTTTTAAACTATTCAGTTAAAGCACAATTCAGAGGCCGCGAGAGAAATTAGGAATTGTGAGCCTCAGCCTAGGGAGTGGGCTAAGGAAATCTGTTCCTGTCTGGATTCCTGTCAATCTTTGACAATAGGTTTGTGATCTGGTTAGAAATCACATGACTTCCCAGAACTGAAGGCCCACTCACAATAAAACAACTGCCTGGCTTCTTTCAGGGCCTACTTTCATTTTCAGAAAACCTGCTGGCCAGGGCTCCATTAAGTTTATCTGATGAAGAAAAGAACTTCTTTTAATCTTGGGGCCTGTAAGAACTAGAACCTCACCCTGTGTCATGGCACACACATTTAATCCCAGCACTCCAGAGAATGAGGCAGGTGGATCTCTGTGAGTTTGATGCCACCTATCCATTCTGATCTCCATAGATCCAGGACAGCCAGAGCTACATAGTGAGACCCCGTTTTGTCTCACAAAACAAAACACGAAAAAGCAAACACAAAAAAAGGAACCCCAAATAAAGCAACACTTACATGTTTAACATTTCCCTCAGCTTTCCAGCCACCATCTTATTAAAATCCTCTCCTGCACTTGTAAACTGTGGCATGTCATCATCTTTGTCTTTGGAATAAATTCCTAAAACAAGGCCCTGAATAAAAATAAAACAAAAATCGATGAATACAATCAGAGTATACTCCATAGAAGGCAATGACTGCCCAAACTGCAGAAGAGGCAAACTATTCCACTAAAACTGTATTTTCCCCAGGGAAGGCAAAGAGCAGAGCAGCAGCCCCACCTCAGCAGCTGAAATCCCTGCCAGGGCAAGACTGGAACTGGGTTATAAGAGGCATCTTGGGCCCAACCCTAAACATAAAAACCACTTGTTTCAGATCTGCTGTCTCATGGTTACAATCCTTTGAAATACTTTGTGTTTTGACCAGGTCCACTCACTGTGTTGCCTGCAGGACTTCCTACGTGCAGAAGTGTCACGGGAATGCTCAGCCAGCCTGAGCTTTTGGAGCACTTCAGGTTAGGGATGCTCACATTTCACAGTAAGTAGCAACTGTGCCGGGAGGGCAGAGGGGTGATCCTTCACATCCCTCCCGGCCCCAAACACCGGAAATAAAGATGCAAACTACTGCTCATCATTTGCTTTCCTGTGGCAATTCATGACTTTTAAAATACTGTCTCCCTTACTGCCACCTCTACGGAGTACTTACATCTCTCATTTTTCAGGTAAGAAAATCTAGTCTCCGACGCACTTGGTCCTTTCTAAAATACTCCATGTACTCAGGCCACGTAGTGCCTGCCCCATCTTTTCACTGACGACATCAGGCTTCCTTGGCATGGTAACTGCCAGGTTCTAGCTCTCCCAAGACTGTTCGTTCCTGGGGTTCCATGAGCCCACGCTGAGACTGTCCACTGTTACTAGGCAGAACCCTCTGCTCCCCGTGATTCCTGCTGGGGTCCTGTGCCTAAGCCCTACCTGGAACAGTCCTCCCTCACCAGGTCCTGGAAGCATAACTCACTTGGATGAGCCGACATCCTATCAGCTCCTTCACGTCTGAGAGTCCCTTCAGAGTGCCCAGCTAGGGGGAGAAGAGCTCTCTCAACAAAGCCCTTTTCCCTAGAATGACATTGCTTTTCTCTGGAAACCCAGTCCAGCAGCTTTCTGCCCTAGGGCCTTTTCGGACACTTCACTTCTGCGGGGGAGGGGGTCTAGGCCCTGTGACTGGCTACTCTGGAACCTTAGCAGACTTTGGGACAACCCTGCCGCCGTCCTTTCTTGGGTTTCGGCGAGGACTAAAGGAATCAATGAAGTAGGCGCGTGTAATTTTTCCGAGCTCAGTTAGATGGAGGCGTCAGTAAAGCCAGCTAGGCAGATCGCAGATCGCGCGGTTCTGCTCTGACTTGGGAACCAGCACTGTCCAGGCAGGAAGAAAGGGCGCGCCCTCGGCAAACAGCAACGGCCGCCCTCGCCGGAGGCCCGGTCCAGGCTGGGGTCCTGCAAACGCAGGGAACTTTTCTATTCACCTCATGTTGGCGACTTGGTGCACACGTCCTACGCCTCGCGGCCTGGACCCGCCCGGTCACCCCGCCGCCCGCGGCCAGGGCTCGCGCGGCCACTCGGGAGCGAGCCGCGGCCACTCACCTTCGTCATGTCTGCGGTGGACAGACCCCGATCCCAGAGACGCCTCACTCCTAAGCGGCGGAGCGCGACTCGCGCAGCAGCCGGAAGAGGCAGCAAGAACATCTTCTCCGCTCGACCCAGGCACCGCCCCCCCGACAGAGCACGTGGCGAGTGGGAGGGTGCGTGCCTTGGGGGCGGGACCTCCGGGATGGCCAGACGCCCGCCTAGAAAGCGGGGCAGGCGATAGGGGCGGGCATTCGGGGGGCGGGGCTGTCGGCAACTGGGCGGGGAAGGGGCGGAGCTCCAGGTCCGTGGGGTGGGGCTTTTTTGTGTTGGGGGCGGGGCGGGCGTCTTGGGGCGGGGCGTCCTGCTACTGGTTGTGCGGAAGCCTGAGTAGTTTTTATAAAACAGATTAACAGAAGTGTGTAAATGTTATTTAACAAGTTTGTGTGTACATGGAAGCCCTTACAGCAAAATGAGGATCCTGAAAGTGCTCATATTGAACAAAGAGTAAAGGAAGACTAGAAGAATGTAAGGATTAGCTAAACAAGGTTCATTTATGCAATTTTTTTTTTTAACCTTCCTTAACTCCTCACCTCTGGTAATGGTATTTGGAGATAGCGGTAGTTTACGTGAGGGTTTTATGTTCTGCCTTGGTGTTTGGGAGACTCAAAGATGGCTCTTGCGTTTGTTCCTATTCAAGTGCCTTTAGTGAAAAATATTTATGCCCAAGTAGCATACTTTGGTGTAGCATATCTGCCAATCCTGCATTATCTAGTAGGGGCAAAAAGTACAGTGATTACAAAAACTGTTTTAAAGATTGTTTTATGTAGACGTATATGGATAAAGGCCATGGTTTTCTCCATCCCATACTCTATGCCCACCATTGCCAAGGTTCGCATTTTAACAATTTGGTCAGCAGCTTGTGATGCTATGGAGTGGTGGAACATTTAGGCTGTGGGACCTAGTAGAAAGAAGTTGGAAGGTTTCAAGTGTGCTTTTGAAGAAAATGGTGTGATCCTAGCACCTTGCTGCCTGTCTCTGATTCCCAGCCACCACGAATGAAGAAGCATTCCATAATGTGCTTTCAGCACAATTGCTATGCTCGCCCTAAACTCATAGGCCAAATGACCATGTAAACTTCTGGAACTATGAACTGAAGTAAGTCTTTTCTCTTGTTAAGTTGATAGCTTCAGAAATAAATATAATATGCTCAATTTCCTTCCGCCTTCTTCGTTTTGTTCAATGCCATTTCTTCCACAAGAAAATGTCTCCAGACCCTCCCATTGTGGGTTACTTGTCTACTTCTCTCAAGGCAGCCTGTCTCAAAATGAAATCACCTGTAAAATTCTCTTTTGGGAGTCCATGGCTTTCACCTTTGTGTACTCATGCCAAGGTCTAGCATCTGGTCTACATCTGGGGCCTATGCCCATAAATATTTGAATGGATGTGTGATCAAAGTCCAGTCAAGCAGCAACATTTAATTAAAGAACATGGTAGCTGCCAGTGTGACTTCCTGATAATAAACTGCATGAGAAGGAGATGGGATAATTAAAGGGGACATCAGGATCAGGAAGATCCTGATCCTCCTGTGGGAGGGTGGGGTAGAGACATCAGGCCTGCTTGGAGAAAAACAAAAAGAGGATATAAAGAAAAGGTTGCTGGATTAAAGAGAATCTTAAAAGGCAGGAAGCAAAGTTTATTGTGGACGAGGGAGTCAGCAGGGAGCCAGTGATGATCTTTGCAGAAGCTGCAGAGAAAGCTGTGTTGTAAGAGATGCATCAGTTAAACACATTAAAGCAGAGGCAGCAAAATGTGTCAGGGTCACTTTAAGGAAAGAAATCAAAGCCCTTTCCCTTTGGAGTAATTTGGCCAAGAGTGAGCCCAAGTTTGAACATCTGGGCTTCTCTCCTTGTGTCTTTCAAGTGTCTACAGCTTATGTCTTCTGGTTTGTCTGCAGTCTGTCTGTTGTTGAGTCTGAATCTGTGCCTGCCGTGTGAATCTGTCCCTAACCAAGCTCTATCACACGGGGAAGGAATGGGGGATGCTTGACAGAACTTCAACAGTTGTACAAGGAATTGAACTTTTCTGATACCACCTGTCCCAGGAGCCTTCAGAAAAGTAAAGAGAATGGGAAAGTAAAATGAATTAAACAAACTCTTACAACCTATATCCATGTTGCTTTCAACATGAATTTGCTTTGTAAGTTCACTTTTGATCTCTTTAATGTTTTCAGCAAATGATTTTCATAGCACATATACAAACACATGCGCATTGCTCTTTGGGTCAGGGGCATGAAGGAATACATCACTTGCATTAAAGCTATGTATTAGATTACCTTGTACAGGTGATCACAAAAGAAACCCAGCACAGGTAAGGTAAATTGTTTCATTGTTCTCTTAAAGGCAGATTAAACAGAGAGGCTGGTTATACAATAGGACATAAGTCTGAAGACTTAAATGATTTCAAGGTATAGTAACTTGGTTATGGGATCCAGAAAAAGTTCCAGTCTCAGAAGGTAAGAAAGACTTTTATATTAATTTATCTCCACAGAGAGATCATGTACATTGGTGACCAGGATAAAGAAAGACTGATCAGTAATGGGTAGATCATAAGTGGGATAATTATTGTCTTCATACATTATGAAAAATGCCTGAATATGTGAGTTGTACCCCTAGTATTGATCTTTCCCATTGCCTTCCAGTAACAGAAACTTAAAAAAAAAATAGTGTTATCCAAATAAGACTATATTTTCTAGAGTCTTGCAAGAAAGGTGATTCTGTGGTTCCATGTCAGAAGGACTATAAGTTCATTGCCACATCAAATGCATGCCTTCCACTCTATCTCTCCACTCATCCAGTCATTCAAAAATACTTATTTAAAGACTGTGGGTGGAACAGATTGGGGAAGATTAGGAATATCAGCCTCCATTAGATATTCAAGTGGAGATGAGTTTAGTTTAGCTGGAGATGTAGCTTAGTGATATAGCATGTGGCTAGCATTTACAAGGCCCTTGTTTTAGTACTTAGCATTGAAGAACAGAAGCCAGTGGTCTCCTGCAGCAGAAAACCCATGGTAACCTTCCCTGCCTCCTGCTCCCATCTCCTGTGGATCCCACTGATCTTCCCCTTGTAACCTCTCTTCACTCTCTTCTTGATTTATCCCAGACTCCAAACCCAGCAGGGCCCCCCCTGCTAACCCAAGAGCCACTTTTCACAGGACAACAAGTAGACTGAAGGCAGACCCACACCTCTGCTCCTGGTTCCTGAGATCCAACCCCCCCAGTCTCCTCCCCAACAGATCACAGAGACCTTCTACTCCAAACTTCCTTCCCCAAATCATCCCAGGATCCCAGCCTTCAATGTCAGCAGGCATTCACTGTGAACAGACCAGGAAAGCAGATAACACACAGCTATTACACTCTCTAAAAATACATAGAGGAAATAGAAACCGAAAAGACAAAAAACCCCAAACACCCACACAACAAAAACAATAACCTTTGGGTTTACTGTATCTAACTTTGATATGAAAGTTTTGTTTTATCTTATTATATTTTATTTTGTCATGTTTACTTGTTATCTCTTAGCTATCTGTTCTTTTCTAATGAGAGACAGAAATGGAGTGGATCCAGAAGGAAGGGAGGAGGGGAAGAAGTAGGAGAAGGGGAGGGAAGATAAACTATAATCAGGATATATTGTATGAGGAAAAAAATAAATGGGGAAAAATTGAAAAAAAGAAAGAAAAGAAAATCAAAAGCCAAATAACAAAACAAAACAAAACTCCCAAATCAGAAAAACAAAACAGAAAGGACAAGTAGTGAAATGGAAGTTTCTTTAAAATGTCACATTCAGGGGAAGCATCGTCTCCAAGATAGTGTCAGGCACCCTAACTGGGGTGCCATACTAGCTGAACCACAAGACAATCCCTGGAAAAATATAAAGGATAAAGAGAATCGCTGGATATACTGAGGTTCAATATCACAGACTAACTATTAGAGGTATATGCTCTAGGTACCTAAGCTCCCACCAATCTTAGTATTTCCCTGCATGTGTGGTAGTGCCATGTTTTCCTTGTGCTGGGGTGCAGCGACTTGTTCCCACATTGCCCTAGCGCTGTGAGTCAGACATCCATTCTTCAGCAGCATCACCGGCCTTTGCATGACTGGGTGCACAGAAAGTCCATTGTGTTCCTAGGAAATGCACTAATTATATGTTGCTTGGGCAGTGAAACCTGTTCCATGGTCATTGTGCAGTCTCACAGGGTATCCAAAAACATGACAGGAGTTCTTGAGGGTGGTTATATTCGTTCCTGCACTGTCATGACAAATTGAACTGGAAAGGTCATGCCCTGAGTAGTTGACAATGGCACTCAGGCCCCATTGGTGCCTGGGTATTGGGTGATCTAGCTCTTAGTTATTGTGCCTGTTTTTCTCTTTGGGTGATGTAAGTCCATTGGCAAGAATCACAGTTGTACTATGTCTTTGGTTTTGTCCTAATTCTTGATCATCTTTCAGGCTTTGATCCATGCTCACATCCAAAGTTTGCTTTCATATCTAGTCCATAGCTGGATCAGGTAAGTGACCATTGTTGTCTGTAGAGCATAAGCTTGAGTGGCATGGCAATTCCATTTATGTTCATTTCGAAAGCTTTTGCTATGATCATTCTTGTGAATAATGTATATCTGTCTTCCCAGGCAGCAAGCTGCTTCTATGCAGGAGATTCCTTAATAGCCCGTGTATCCTTTTGCCTTTTACCATACTAGATGGTCAGGTCTTGGACAACAGGTAATGAGTATAAGTGCACTGTATACCATGTGCGCTATTATACCAGTAGGCTGAACATCCATTCCCACTGCATATAGTTTGAGTCACTGGATGGGAAATTTATTTCCAGTCTTAGTTAAACATGTCTGTGTACTGAGCAGATGTTCTAATGGGGTAGAAAGATGGGCCCCATCTGCATTTAGTTTTTCCTGAATCATCAATAAATGTGGCCATGGTGCTGGCAGACACATCTTTAAATCTTGAACCCCAAGGTTGTAGTTCGAATATGGAGTCCCTATCCCCAAATAAAAGAGTGTATGTGCTAAAGGCTTGGGTTTGGCTGTTGAGGCACACCAACACTGAGACAGTTCCAGACATGTCTAGGCCTTACTGCCT